GTGGATGGAATCACATGGCAGGTGGCTTTGGTGCTGTCTTCCTTTTTACCCAGCATCATGTTTTATGAGGCTGTTTTATTATTATTTATTTATTTAAGCCTCACCTGAGGATATTTTTCCATTGATTTTCAGAGAGAGTGGGAGAGGGAAAGACAGAAATATCGATGTGAAACACATTGATTGGTTGCCTCCTGCACGCGCCCTGACCAGGGCCTGGGCTGGGGAGGAGCCTGCAACCGAGGTACGTGTGCCCTTGACCGGAATTGAACCCAGGACCTTTCGGCCCACAGGCCGATGCTCTATCCACTGAGCCGAACCAACTAGGGCTTATGTGGAAGTTTTATACAAAACTGAGCTTTAATATCTTCCCTAATACTGATACTATAGCTTCTAATCTGCCTGAGCCAGAACAGAGAGTGGGGGTTCTGGAAACCGATGGCATAGCTTCCAGTGCCACCATAATGCCACTTAACCGTCTGTGCCACTCGAGCCAGGCCCTGTCCTCTCTGTAAAATGAAGGGGCACAAGATTTGCCCCCCAGGATGCCCCCCGATGGTCAGGGAAGTGGTTCTCAAACTGGAGAACTTATTAAAACACAGATTGCTGGGCCCCACCCCCAGTGTTGGACTCAGTAGGTGGTGGTGGCGGGAGCGGGGCGGGGGGGGGGGGGGGGGTGGGTGTGGGGGTGTGGGGGGGTCGTGTCCAAGAATACGCATTTCTAACAAGTTCCTTGGTCCTGCTGCTGCTGGTGGTGGTGCAAGGACCACAGCTGAGAAAACCCTGCCTTGGGTAATGGGAGAACCAGGACTCTCAGCTGAGCCCAGCACCCTCCCAACCTCAGAGTCAGGGCCAGGGCGCCGCGAGTCAGAGTCCAGGAGGAGCCAACCTCAGTGGGGCCCACGGGAATGTTCCCTTCCAGCTGCACCCGGGACCTGAGACTCTCAAGTCACTGGGAGAAAAGCCAGACCGCCAGGGAGCGGATCCCTCTCCCAGGGCGGCGCTTGGTAGTTGCATCAGGTCCCTGGAGGAGGAGCTCCTGGATGGAAAGAACTGGTAATCAGGCCCCTGGGCAATTGGAAAGGCTGGAGTGGGAGGGCGGGCTCAGGGGCTGTGAGCTGCACAAGGGCTGGGCTCAGAGCTGGAGGTGAGCTCCTCCTTTGCGTCTCATTCATTGTTGAAGTTTACAAAAACACAATGAGGTCCGGCTGGTGTGGCTCAGTGGCTGAGCACCAACCTAGGAACCAGGAGGTCAGGGCACATGCCCAGGTTGCGGACTCGGTCCCCAGTGGGGGGCATGCAGGAGGCAGCTGATCAGATCAGTGATTCTCATCACTGATGTTTCTACCTCTTTTCCTCTCTGAAGTCAATAAAAAAATATTTATTTTTATTTTAAGAATAAGTAAAAATAAACAAACAGAATGAGGAAAACAAATTGCCAGTGTTAGCATTTTGAGATAGTGTCTTTTGGTTTTAAAAACATTCATCTCTTTATTTCCCCTCCTGCAGGGCCCCTCCTGGGGGTGGAGCCAGAAACCCCCAGCATGTGCCCTGACTGGGAACCGACCAGCCACCTGCTGGTGCGTGGGTCCGTGCTCAACCACGGAACAGCACTGGCCAGGCTGTTTATTACACATCATCAGACTGAGTACCTGCACGGCGCTATGGGCTGAATTGTGCCCCCCACAGTTACAATGTTCAAGTCCCAACCCCCAGAACCTCAGGATGTGACCTTATCTGGAAACAGGGTGGTTGTACATGCAAGTAGGTAAGATGAGGTCATATTGGAATATCGTGGGTCCCTAATCCAGGATAACTGCTGTCCTTATAAAAGGGGAAATTTGGCGCTGGCCGGGTAGCGCGGTTGGTTAGAGCATTGTACAGATACACTCAGGCCGTGGTCGGAAAACTGCGGCTCACGAGCCACATGCGGCTCTTTGGCCCCATGAGTGTGGCTCTTCCACAAAATACCACGTGCGGGCACGCACGGACAGTGCGATTGAAACTTCGTGGCCCATGCGCAGAAGTCGGTATTTTGTGGAAGAGCCACACTCAAGGGGCCAAAGATCCGCATGTGGCTCGCGAGCCGCAGTTTGCCGACCACTGCACTAAGGTAGTGGGTGCCATCTCCGGTCAGGGCACATACAAGAATCAACTAATGATTCTATAAATAAGTGGAACAATAAATCGATTTTTCTCTCTCTCTCTCAAAATCAATAAATTAAAAAAGAAAAAGGAGATTTGCACTCAGACATGCACACAGGGACAATACAATGGGTAAACGGAAAGTTCTGCTACCACGAAGCTGCTAGAAGCCAGGAGAGAGCCTGGCACAGACGCTTCCCCAGCGCCTGCAGCGGGAGCAGAGGCCTGCTGGCACCTTGATCTCAGACGTTTAGCTTCCAGACCTGGAAGACAGTGCACTCCTGTTGTTTAGGCCACTCAGTTGTGGTACAGTGCTGTGTTATGGCAGCCCTAGCAAACTAAAACACACAACCTCTTCTGAATATATGGTTTACAGTAAAAGCATTTGTAAGGACCAAAATATAATATAGAAGAATAACAGAAGAAATGCTCATGTATCCTCTACCAAAATTCAGTCTTTTTTTCCATGAGTTTTATTTGCATGTCCCCCTGCCCCCAAGCTCCTACATAGGCCTACTGACCACCCCATTCTGCAACCTGTTTTCCAACCAATATGTCATGATTATTGCCCGGCCAGCATGGCTCAGTGGTTGAGCATCAACCCATGAACCAGGAGGTAAAGGTTCGATTCCTGGTCAGGCACATGCCTGAGTTGTGGGCTCAATCCCCAGTAGGGGGTGTGCAGGAGGCAGATCAATGATTCTCATCATTGATGTTTCTGTCTCTCTCTCCCTCTCCCTTCATCTCTCTGAAAGCAATAAAAATATATTTAAAAAAAGAAAGGAGCCGTTGCTGGCCAGACTTAGAGTGGTTCGCATACAGAACATACAGTCTAGCAATCCAGAGTAATAGCAGAATAACTCAAGTACGTACAATTCTCAAACTCCACAAAAGGGCCGATACCCAGACCACACCTGTACTTTTAAAATTCCTCTTTTCTTCCCCATCCCACATCCTTTACACACTACAGGTGTCCCTGTGCCCTCTTTTCAGCACCCCTATCCCAACACCTCCTTGTTCCTGGTCTTTCCCTTCTCCTCGTCCTTCCTACCCAGCTCTAGTGTATGTGTGTGTGTGTGTGTGTGTGTGTGTGTGTGTGTGTGTGTTTCTCTCAATCCTTCCTGTCTCAGATTCTCCATGACAAAAGCCCCAAAGAACTGAATTGGCATGGAAGGATGCTTCTCAGATGGTGGGGAGGGGAAAAACCACGTAGGCAAAATCCTTCAGTGGGTGGGCAGGGAAAAACTGTAATCATATTATCTAGTCCAGTGGTTCTCAACCTTCCTAATGCCGCGACCCTTTAATACAGTTCCTCATGTTGTGGTGACCCCCAATTTCATTGTTACAAATTGAACATAATTAAAGCAGAGTGATTCATCACAAAACAATATGTAATTATACATGTGTTTTCTGATGGTCTTAGGTGACCCCTGTGAAAGGGTCGTTCAACCCCCAAAGGGGTCGCGACCCACAGGTTGAGAACCGCTGATCTAGTCCCACTATAGTGGTCAGCTGTGGGCCCCTAGCAGACTGGTGGGCTGTGTTGGCCTAGTGCCCCTCACATTGGGTTTAGCACATAGTAGGGACTTATTGCTTCAATGAAGGTGGCAGCATTGACAAACAAGTCTATCTTGGGGATAACAAGAGACATTTTGCAAAGGTGTTTGACCTGGGCCCGGAAGCAGGAAGCTTATCTTGGGCAGCAAGGACATCTCTTCCTCTGAAGAGGGGGGACTTAAGAGTGAACGGGGAAGACAAAGATGAGGGAGGGAGGGAGAAGGTGGAGGGCACCCCACTTGATGGCTGTATCTTTCTCCATGAAAAAGAAGAGCTGGAGTATGAGATGGGGAAGAGGCAAAGCTTTGGAAAAGCCACGGTGGGGAAGGGCAAGGGTTTGGGAACATATAGAACAATTGCTGGCCAGTGGTTTGTGGGTTTGATCTTTGCAGAGCCTCAGATGGTTGGGGTCCAGGGATTGGGGACCCACCATGTATTCACCAGGGAGAAAATGAACCGGTCAAAGGGACTGGAACGCTCCCTAACGCTGAAAAATGACGGTGAGAGCAAGGCAGAAAAGCGGGTCTGTTTGGCGAGGGGACAGTTGGGATTTAAAATTTCGGGTGGATAAGCTGTGGGACCCTGAAGGTGCCTGGCTGAGGTGCGGGGCAGGCCTTGGAGATGAGCACGTCAAGGAACTGGATGCCAGGCTGGCCCTGAGGATGGTAAAGTCTCCCAGAATCCAGGGCGGAACCGGGAGCCACGTGACAGCCCCTCAGGATTGGCTGACAGTGAAACATAGTTGAGAAGATGGCGGCTCAGCGAAAAGCTCATCACAGAAGGTCTGTACACACAGTGGCATTCAGTGTACAGGACAGCCGTGAGGAGCAAGGGGGACTCGGACCCTCCCTCCTGTCTGGACACAGACAGAGGCGATGTGGAGGGGGAGAGTGGGCGGTGTGCAGGGGCCGGCTCCATCTCTGGACGGACAGCCGGGTAGAGACAGGGCTGGACTCCCGGGAGCAGGGCGCCGCTCCGGCCACTAACGTATCAAATGGAGCAGGTTCGCGTTCTGGCGCCCCTCTGAGTTCGGGGACCCGAGGAGGACCGCCGGCAGGGTCAAAAAGGCGGCGGAGGGAGACGGCGAGGCCAGAATCCTGGGGCCGGCCGGGCAGGGCCCGCCGGTGGCGTCGCGCGTCTCCATGGCGACGGGCAGCGTGGCCCGGAAGTAGGCGGTGCCTAAGACGGGCGGGGCATCTCTGTGACGCCAGGGTCCGGGCGTAAATGGCGAAACCCGAGAGGCCCACCGGGGGGTTTGAACTGGCCAATGGGCGAGCTCCCGACCGGGTGTCGGAAAAGGAGGCGGAAGCGGGGAGGAGCCGCCGTTGCAGCTGGACTACATCCGCCGCGGCGTCTCCATGGCACGACCCTGGCCTCCAACTTCAACGACTTCTTAAGGAGGCGTTTCTGGGCGCAGCCGTGTCGCTCCTGGTGAGAGGCCGCCGGCAGGTGGGACCCAGGGCGCTCAGGGGCGTCCCGCGGCCGCCGCCGGGGCCGGTCCCCACGGACCCGATGGTCCCGGCCGGGGTGGCCTCGTCCCGCCGCCCCCCGCCCCCGCGTCGCCCCCGCCGGCAGCCGGCTGGCGCGCTGGGCCCGCTCCCGTCGGAACCCGGCCCCGCCCCGCCCCCCGGCGCGGGCCTTCTCCTCCCGCTAACTGGCCGGCCGGCCGCCCTCCGCACCTGGCGACCGGCGGGGCTCGGCGCGCTCCTCTGCTGCCCCGGCAGGGCGTCGCCTTCTCTCTATGGGCAGAAACTGGTCCCCTTCTGCCCGCTGGTGGGTGGTCACCCCTCCGCTGGCGGAGCCCGGCCCCCGCCCGCTGGCCCGCCGATGGGCGTCGCCGGGTTCGCCCTTCGCTCCCGGGGGCCGCGCACGGCAGTTATCGCCCGGTCTTCGGCCGCAGCGCCGTCCCCCCGGCCCCCCACCCGCTCGGGGTCCCGCTCCGCTTCCCTGCACAGCCCGGCGTCTAACCGGCCCTCGCTCGGACCCTCGATCCCCGCGGCCGCTGCTGCGACCGAGGGGGTTCCCCCTCCCGCGCCGGCGGTACCCACTCGCGGCCGAGCGCCCCGTCCCGCCGCCCCGTTCTTCCCTCGTCGAAGACTATTGGTCCCTCCGGTGGCGATTCAGCCGGGAACGCCCCTTCTCCTAGGAGACTGTTGCCCCGGCCCCGCCGCGGACCTCCCCACACACCCCAGCTCGCTGCGCTGGTTGCGGCCCTTTCGGGCCCACTTGGGGCCTAGCGGTTCTCTCCCGCCAGCACCTCAGGTTTTCTTCCTGATGCCCTCGCCCCCCTCCTGGGTGGGGCCTGGGCGCGGTGGGCCTTTCCCCCGAGGTTCCGCCCCCCGCACTCCCCGGCGCCCGCCCGCCGCCCCGCAGGTCGCTCAGCCTCTGCTCTCTCCCCCCCACTTTGGCAGGACAGTTGCTGTGCGACTTGGACAGTAGAGAGGAGCGCCTCCCAAGTGTTCATCCAACTGCCACCCCCAAAGCTTCCACCCTCCTCCCCTCAGAGAGGACGTTTGATGCCCGGCCCCTGAGATTCTCATTGACAAGCCCCTCTGAGTCCCCTTGAGCAGAGCCTGCTGACCCCATTGCCCACCTTTGCGGCTTTGATGCCTAGTCATGTCTGCCTCGTCCTCAGGCGGCTCCCCCAGGTACTGCCAACGTGGGGGGCGCCTCCGCCCAAGGGCAGGGAAAGGTGGTCAGGGCCCCGCCCCTCCCCGGGCCAGGCTTGCAGGAAGGCGGCTTCTCTTTTCAGCTTCTCTGTGCGGTGTGTTGGAAGTCTGGACCAAAATATGTGGAAATCAGTTTTTTAAAGGGAAGGAGGGAAAAAAAATGCATGCACACATTCTCTGCTCTGCCCGGCTCCCTCCCTCTCTTCCCAGGTGTCCCAGTTCCTGGTAGCGGGATGGGGCCGCTATTGTCTCAGTGGAGTGCAGGGCTCATCCTTTCTGAAAGAGGGCCAGGTGTAAATGCAGACAGTGATGCAGGAGGTGGATGTGGCCGCTAGCAAGGTGCTCGTGGAGTCCGAGCGGTTTGATGGGAAGGCTGCTCAGGCGGGGAGATGACCCAAATCTACTGGCTTCAAATAAAGAGAAATGTTCTCAGTGGGGAAGGAAAAAAACAACTCTCTATTAGATTTTGGTATTTCTTGGTTAAATGATTAGTACATACATTTTTAATCAAGGTATAATATACTACCGCAAAATGCATGTTAAAAGGCTCAAGATTTTTTAAAAAATATATATTTTATTGATTTTTCACAGAGAAGAAGAGAGAGGGATAGAGAGTTAGAAACATCGATGAGAGAGAAACATCGATCAGCTGCCTCCTGCACACCTCCTACTGGGGATGTGCCTGCAACCCAGGTACATGCCCTTGGCCGGAATCGAACCTGGAACCTTTCAGTCCGCAGGCCGACGCTCTATCCACTGAGCCACACCGGTCAGGGCTCAAGATTTTTTATATTGCATTTTATGTTGCATTATTTTCCCAGGTATTTGTGGGGAGGGCAAAGTCATATTTTGGGGCTGTCGGAGGCTGTCAAATGAATGGATCAAATGAACTTTTCACGTCCCTTCCCATCCTGGAATTCTTGGATGTAGTACTGCCAAATTGGGGGGATTAAATACTTGCTACATTTGCAAATCTGGCGGTAGGGCTGTTTGTGTGTAAGCAGGATGAATTACACATGGTATTTAAAAACAACAACCCAAAACAAAAATAACACTGCTGCTTAGGAGCTCAAAAGTATCAAGTGGGGTATTTTGGGAACTAGTAATTTTTCATTCCGTTGAATATTTGACTGTTAATTTTATGAATTTGAGTCACAGGGACTTTGTTCCTGAGCTTATTGCTCTGTCTTTGATGTCAGCCCTTCCCTGAGCCACCTCTGCTCCAGGCACTGTCCTGGGCCCTTTCACCTTACCCCAGCTGTTGCTCATGTGCTGCCTGTTCCTTGTCACCTGGCAGGATGACAGCTGGGCTTCCCAGCAAAAGGTCACAATACATGTGATGCGATGGCAGGTTAAAAGGCCAGCCTGCGAATGCCACCCCTGCTCTTTCCATCCCAATGCCAGGCACACCATGCACGTTTGGTGCTCATGTCAAGGGAGCCAAGTGATTCCAGACCAGCTCTCCTAGCTGCCAACTTGTTACCCGCCATATGTAGTGTATAATTTTGGGAGATCTAAGCAATAGAAGAACCCTAATTTTCTGGTAATAACCTGGTTCTTATACCTGGGTGCAGGTTTCCATCGTGTGGGAAGAACGGAGTAACAAGTCTCACGCAGAAAAAGGTCTTGAGGACAGCTTGTGGCGCACCCAGTGTGACCGTGACGGTAGGTGATGCGCACACGGAGCGGCCCTCCAGTCTGCAGCCCTGCCAGGAGCGCTTCTGCACATCTTTTCCAGGAGCTGCCTTACCGGCTGGCACCGCGGTAGCCGGGCACTTTGCTAGGGGCCTGCATGCATATTCTGCTGATCGCTTGGGGGTTGTTTTGCTTGTGGTAGGGCTGCCGGGTTGAGGAGGTTGTTTTACACCTGGACAAATTCCAGAAGTCTTTGGAACAGATTTAAATAATAATAATAATAATGAAGAAGAAGAAGAAGAAGAAGAAAATAAGATTGGGGAGGGGATAGGAGCGGATGGTGAGTGAGGGGCATGTAGCTGGGGTTTTGCCTTGTTTATACTTTTTTAGAATCAATACAACCTTCTCACCTTGGCATTTCCTCCAGCTCTCTCTTTTCACCGTCTCGTACCTGCCTGCTGCCTGGTTTATTGTGCCCCGTAATCATTTTGTGTGTTTGCTGTGCTAACACGCATGCCCAGTAGAGATCATGACGTAGAAGGATTCGTCTGCTTCCCAGCTGTGCTGCCCTGAGTCCAAGGCAGAGCTCTGCATTCCAGCAGGCTGGGACGGAGATCCAGCTCGGAGCACCTGGGGCCTGGGTTTGGGCTCTTTTGTAGAACCTGCGGGTCTTGCAGACCCTCCTCTCAGTTGGACCTGGGTGTGTCTGGTGGCCTTCCGCTGGAATCTGCAGGAGCCTGCTGAACGGCACTGCGCCTTGGTCCCTGCCTGCATGCCAGTAGTTAGTGGCTGTCCTGCTCGCTTGGTGGCGAGGCTTTCAGCGGCCCTCAGAGGCTGCGAGTTCTGTGTTTTATGCCCAGTTTACTCATCCACAGATCAACCTTTTTTGTGTTGTCTCCCTCGGCCTGCCAGAAGCGAACTATGAAGGACCGCTCTTCAACTCCCCCCTTACATGTTCATGTGGATGAGAACACCCCTGTCCACGTCCACATAAAAAAACTCCCGAAACCAGCAGCGACCAGCAGCCAGGTAGGAGCATGCCAGTGGGGCGAGGTGAAGGCTATGGAGCAGGGTGACACGGCTCCGCTCAGCCTCCTCGCGCTCCTAACTCCAAAGGTTTGACAGACGAACGCACTTGCTTTCAGAGGTCAGTCGCCTGGTTAGAAGGTAGGCAGGACTGTCATCTGGAAGTGGCGGCGGCAGCCGTCGTCAGAAGAGGCTCCCTGGCAGAGTTGGAGATGGATGCCATCCATCAGAGTGACACCACAGCCGGCTGTGTGAGAAAGTGACCTCGGGTTTGTCCTTCTCCACAGAAATCTCATAAGCGCGGAATGAAAGGGGACACCGTGAATGTGCGGCGGAGTGTCCGAGTGAAAACCAAGGTACCTTGGATGCCCCCCGGAAAATCATCTGCCCGGCATGTGGGATGCAAGTGGGAGGTAGGCTCACGCTTGTTCAGGCTTTTCTCCTGGGACTAGGCAGGGTCTATCTAGCAGGCCTCAAACTCGGTATGATTCAGGGTCAGCTGTAGCTGTTAGAGACATGCAGTAGGTCCCGTTTACTGAGAGCCTTGCTGAACCCTGAAAGTGAGTCTTGAGTCCTCACAACAGTGAGATGTGGTGGGTCCTGCTCTGCTCATGTACAGATGAGGAAATGAAGGCCCGGACCGGTGAGGGCTCACAGAGAAGGTAGCAGAGCTGGAGTGAGTACTCAAGGGGGTCTCATTCTAGGGCAGGGGTCCTCAAACTTTTTAAACAGGGGGCTAGTTCACTGTCCCTCAGACCGTTGGAGGGCCGGACTATAGTTTAAAAAAAAACTATGAACAAATTTCTATGCACACTGCACATATCTTATTTTGAAGTAAAAAAACAAATGTTTTCGGTGGGCTGCATGTGGCCCGCGGGCCATAGTTTGAGGACCCCTGTTCTAGGGGCTGTACTTTCTGATTTATATGTGAGGAGCCACATGTCTTTTCCCACGTGACTGATAGTTTTGGAGCATAACTGAATATACGTTTATATACATATACACCAGAATGTACATACCCAGAAAAGCATCACCTCTTTTGAGGTAGTCATTGTTAAGACCAGGCACAGATTCCACAGTGTCATCAAAGCCACTTTTGGAATGAACTGATGCATAAGTGCCTTCAGACTTAGTTGTCAAGATAACAAGAGAACTGTTGTCATTTTTTAGTCACACCCCAACATGCCTGTCCATCCGTCTCTGCAGTAGTTCATGCTGCGTATGTTTATTGAGACTTATGCCAGACTGCGGGGTGCTGGGTTACACCTGCAGCATACAGATGTGCCCATTCTTGTCAACTGCAGTGAAAATACTCAAATGATAAGACAAGGCCTTTTGGTCATGTTTTAGACAGAGATCTCATTATTAGGACAAATAAAAACCTCCAGGCTACTTTAAGATGATGATACCTGATCTATTTTGGAAGATTCAGTTTTCTGAAAGCTTATTCCTTCTATAATTAACAATAAATAAAAGTAATTATTCTAAAGTTTCTAATCATACTTATGGTTTTGACTCCCTGATTTACCTGTTTGTCCCTAAGAGCTTATTGGAGTGTGGGGGGTTCTAGGGAATAAGTGAAAAGTGTTCTGACAGTTTTGAGAGGATCATGAAACCGATTCAGCTCTTTTGGAGATAGCTTGGCAGCATCTATTTAAACATTGCTTCTAGTTTTACATTTAGGAATTTATCTTTATTTCATATATTTTTATTAATTTCAGAGAGGAAGGGAGAGGGGGAGAGATATAGAAACAAAAATGATGAGAGAGAATCATTGATCGGCTGCCTCCTGCATGCCCCCCACTGGGGATGGAGCCCGCAACCCTGGCATGTGCCCTTGACCAGAATCAAACCCGGGACCCTTCAATCCACAGGCCGGCGCTCTGCCCACTGAACCAAACCAGCTAGGGCATAGGAATTTATCTTTTAAAAGTCACAGAAGAGCCCTAGCCGGTTTGGCTCAGTGGATAGAGCATCGGCTTGCAAACTAAAGGGTCCTGGGTTTGATTCTGGTCAAGGGCATGTACCTTGGTTGCAGGCTCCTCCCCGGCCCAGGTCCTGGTCAGGGCTCATGCAGGAGGCAACCAATTGATGTGTTTCTCTCACATCAATGTTTCTCTCTGTCTTTCCCTCTCTTTCCCACTCTCCCTAAAAATCAATGGAAAAATACCCCCGGGTGAGGATTAACAATAAATAAAAAAAGAATAAGATATGCACTTATCCATGCCAACCACATTTTAAAAAAAAGTCACAGAAGAATACAGGGACTGTGTACAAATGCTGTTTTTGCTACAGCATTGTTTGTAATAGAGAACAATCAGAAGCAACCTAAATGTCAGTCAGGAGGATATTGCTTAAATTATGATACGTCCATACAATGGGATACCATGTAACCATTACCAGGATTGAGGTAGTAGTTATACATGATAATGTGTCACAGAGCCACATAGCATAGAGAGTGCGGCCCAGTTTGTCCAGAAAGGGGAGTCTGTGTGTCCCTGTGTGGATATATTTGTATGCACATAGCATTTTCTGGGAGGGTATACAGAAGTGTTAAGCAGTGCTCACTTATCCTGGGAGTATGGGAGGCTTTGATGGTTTATTTTTAATGGCATGCTTGAATTTCTTCATAAGCATACTATATTTTATTATCTAAAATGCTTTGCAAAGCAATGGTAGTTTTCAGAGTCTACAACAAAGATATGCCACTATGGAAATTGACGTCCTTTTGACATGAGTTGCTAGAACTATGATCTCCTCCGGAAAGCTCGCTGTCTGTTTCAGTCCTGGGCCCCAGAATCCAGAAATGGAGGGGCCCAGAGAGGTGACTTGTCATCTCTCAAGCAGTAGTTGTCTTTCGTGCTACTTGGCTAGCCCTTTTCCACTTCCCAGGGGCCTTTGTGTGCCTGGGAGGCCCCCGCCTGGCCTTTTCTGTTCTGGACAAGAGAGAAAAGACTCTAGGAGGTGGAAGTTTGTGGTGGAGCGGAACATGGACCCAGAGCTGCTGTGTGCATGTAGGGATTCTAGTTTTTTAAAAACCCTTCCTGATATATAAGGTTAGCTTTGGGAAAACGAAGGTCTGGCTTTTTTCTCTATTATTAAATGAAGGGATCGATTTCTGTTATGGAAAACTGAAAATACAGAAAAATAGGAAGTTGCCTGTAATTCTTCTCTAATCTGGCTCCTATTAAGCTTTAAAATATTAAGTGGTAATAGAGAAAAATCAGAAGCAACCTAAATGTCAGTCAGGAGGGTCTTGCTTAAATTATGATACATCCATACAATGGAATACCATGCAACCATTACCGAGATTGAGGTAGTGGTTATACTACCATGCACAGATCAGCCAGCTTCCCCAGAATCTCCCCTCTGGCCCTTTCCTGTTACTTCCTCCCCAAGGGGAATCACTGTCCCAAAACTAATATTTTAGTGCTTTTACCATACCCATGCAAGTATGTGGTTTTTTTAAATTGATTTTAGAGAGAAAGGAAGGGAGAGAGGGAGAAACATCGATGTGAAAGAAACATTGATTTGTTGCCTCTCGTATGCACCCCAACCGGGGATCGACCCCACCATCCAGGTATGTGCCCTGACCGGAAACCCCTTGGTGTATGGGACGACACTCCAACCGACTACCCAGTCCGGGTGTAGAGTTGTTGTTTTGTTTTTTTTACTTCAATTGTAATGATGCTATCTGTATATTTTCCGATTTTCTTTTAAATATTAAAAATTATTTTTTCTTATAAAAGCAATGCATAGTCATTGTTGATAAATTAGAAAACCCAAATTAAGGAGGAAACTAAAAATCACCTATGATCCCACCACCCTAAAATGACCTATGTCACTTGCAACTTCCTGATCTTGTCTTATGAACTGACTCATTTTTAATTTTTGTAACAATGGGATTATATTTTAATTATTGTACAACATCCTTTTTAAAACAATATGTTTATATTTATTTTAGAGAGAGAGAAGAAGGGAGAGGGGGAGAGAGAGAGAGAAACATCTATCGGCTGCCCTCTGCACACCCCCTGCTGGGGATGGAGTCCAAACCCGGGCCTGTGCCCTGACCAGGAATCAAACCAGCAACCTCTTGGTGTATAGGGGTGACGCTCACTCCCTTGAGCCACACCTGCCGGGCACAACATCCTTTTTTAAAAATATACTTTAACTATGTTTCCATTACATGTTGTTATTATTTTAGTGGTTTTTATTTTTAATTTTTGTGTTTTTATTGATTTGAGATAGAGAGGATGGGAGAAAGAGAAAAACATTTATTGGCTGCCTCTAGCAATTGGGGACCAAACCTGCAACTTGGGTATGTGCCCTGACCAGGAATTGAATCAGTGACCTTTTGGTACATGGGGCAACGTTCAACCAAATGAGCCACGCCGGCCAGGGCGCATGTTAATTTTTCTTTTTTTTAATATATTTTATTGATTATTTTACAGAGAGGAAGGGAGAGAGAGAGAGTTAGAAACATCGATCAGCTGCCTCCTGCACACCTCCTACTGGGGATCAAGCCCACAACCAAGGTACATGCCCTTCACCGGAATCGAACCTGGGACCTTTCAGTCCGCAGGCCGACACTCTATCCACTGAGCCAAACTGGTTTCGGCGCATGTTAATTTTTTAAGGCAATATTCTATTATTTGTATGTTTGTACTGTTATGTATTTAAACAATACTATATTGTCATATATTTATCTGTATCCTTGCCTTGAATTTAAATACTGATTCATTTTCTTGATAAATCCCTAGAAATAGAATTGCTGGAACCAAAGGCACATACATTTTTTAAAAAATATATTTTATTGATTTTTTACAGAGAGGAAGGGAGAGGGATAGAGAGTTAGAAACATAGATGAGAGAGAAACATCGATCAGCTGCCTCCTGCACGCCCCCTACTGGGGATGTGCCGTTACCAAGGTACATGCCCTTGACCGGAATCGAACCTGGGACCCTTGAGTCCGCAGGCCGGCGCTCTATTCACTGAGCCAAACCAGTCAGGGCGGCACATACGTTTTTTAAATTGTACTCAATGAGTCCTATTTGTTTAATATAACAGTTACACTCTTATTGTATACCACCTTTTACTCCTGATAGCCATCCTCTTTTCCTGGAAATTGGCACAGAAGGTCAGCCAACAGTGGTTTAAGAGGAGCAAAGAGCCCTAGCCAATTTGGCTCAGTGGATAGAGCGTCGGCCTGCGGACTGAAGAGTCCCAGGTTCAATTCCGGTCAAGGGCACATGCCTGGGTTGTGGGCTCCATCCCCAGTTGGGGGTGTGCAGGAGGCAGCCGATCAATGATTCTCATCATTGATGTTTCTATCTCTCCCTCTCCCTTCCTCTCTGAATTTTTAAATAAAAATATATTTTAAAAAAAGAGGAGCAAAGAACTACATAAATAATGAGAAACAGCAGCTACTTAATGCATCAGAATAAATTTGTAGAATGAGTCAAGTTCAATTTATCAAAAACCCATGCAAATCCTGGACCCCCAGATTACAATATTCTTTTTTGAAGTCTTAATAGCAAAGCATTATACAGCTTTGCATAAACTCTTCTGAGGGGCATATGCATTTAAAATATTTTATGCTGATGTATTTAAGTATTTTCCAAAAAGCATACCATATTAATTATTCCGTATGTATTTCTAGTAACATTTTTTCTATGTAACCAAAATAACAATTATTACTCCTAAAAACTTTATGTCTTCATATCATATATCTGGTGAATATTCAAATTCCCTTACTTAAAATGTCTTTTATAAAAGATTTGTTACCTTTACAACTATCTACTATTAGGCATTCATATTCATTTAAAAAACTTTTGACATACTTCACTTCTACTCTAGGTATATGAAAACATTTCTTGCCCCAAACATTTGCCAACTTTAGAAATTACTGTTTTTGGCACTTTATATTCTTTTTTTTAAAAAATATATTTTATTGATTTTTTACAGAGAGGAAGGGAGAGAGACAGAGAGTTAGAAACATCGATGAGAGAGAAACATCGATCAGCTGCCTCCTGCACATCTCCCACTGGGGATATGCCCGCAACCCCGGCACATGCCCCCGACCGGAATCGAACCCGGGACCCCTTAGTCCGCAGGCCGACGCTCCATCCACTGAGCCAAACCGGTTTCGGTGGCACTTTATATTCTTTATTTTAAATACTATCTCTGTGTTAAAAAATATTCAAAAACATTTATACAGGGATAGGTGGCATTCCATCAAGTAGGTGTGGCAGATTTTGGCTCCTGGGGCCCCTGTGGCTGGCCCGTTAGCATTTTGGTTCTTCCTGCCTGTGGACAACCAGGTGTGGTGGAGCTGATGGCTGTGGATTTGCCTCATGAGTTCCTGTGCTCTCCCTCCTCCACGTCAGAACCCACCTCACTGCCTGGAGATTACGCCGCCGTCCTCAGAGAAGCTGGTCTCAGTAATGCGATTAAGCGACCTCTCTACAGAGGATGACGACTCGGGTCACTGTAAAATGAACCATTATGATAAGAAGATTGACAGTCTAATGAACGCAGTCGGTTGTCTCAAATCTGAGGTGAGGGGTGTGGGAGGCTGGGACAGCTAGAACCCTGAGGTGGTGTGGGACTTTTGAGGTGTGTCCCTGGTGGGCACTTCCTTCCGGCTGCCTCTCTGCAGGCCACCCACGCAGCTCTGCCCAGAACTTCGGGTGCCCCTGGCATTCAAATCGGGGACCTGGGGTCCCTCTCCATCGAACACTTAGCCCCCTTAGCCCGGCCGCCCTGACCGGCCTGCTGCTCTGTGTGGATGGCGGCCTCTGATGCCACCGAGGAACCTGGAGTAGCCGTGTCCCTGTTTGGGAAATGAAGTGCAGGGAGATTGTCCTCAGCTGCTGGACGGTGTCTGGGTGGAATGCGGCAGTGGGAACGGAAACAACCTGGAAGACCACGGCCCCCAGCTAGGAAGTTGGCGTTGCTGGTGTGAAACCCAGGCCTGCACTGCTACTGTGGCCTGTGCCTCTAACCCCCCCGGCCCCCCACACTCGGGGCCCTGGGCCCTCCGGGAGGACCTGGGCGGGTGGCCTGGCAACAGTCCTCCCTCCGCCGTAGCCACAGCACAGGGGCCTCTGTCACTGTCACACCTCCCTCCGCGGAACCACGGCTTATAGCCTGGCTCTTTCCCCACCCAGCAGGCCACTCGGGCTGACTGTACTCGGTCTCCTCAGTAATGAGGGAATGAGAGGAATAGTGTCTTCCCTGAGTCTTTGTGACAACGAGCTAAGATTTCACCAGATGCACTGAGTACCTATGTAGCTGTCACTAGGTGGGCCTCACATGTGGCAGGAAGGAGGGGCCGCCCCTCAGTGGCCCCATGTGCTGCCCATGGACAGGTCAAGATGCAGAAGGGTGAGCGTCAGATGGCTAAGAGGTTCCTGGAGGAGCGGAAGGAGGAGCTGGAGGAGGTGGCCCACGAGCTGGCTGAGACCGAGCATGAGAACACAGTGCTGAGGCACAACATCGAGCGCATCAAGGAGGAGAAGGACTTCACCATGTAAGGCCCGCCCTGGACTCCAGCCTCCTCAGGAAGAGGGACCCTTTGGGAAAAGGGACATTGAAGGGGAGGCGAGGAGTTAGGCAGGTGGATGCTGGGGAACATCTGTGACTGAGACAGGGAAAGCAGGCCAGAGTGAGGAAGGTGGGTGGGCCGAGGGCAAGGGGTGCCATGGAGTTCGTCAGGGGCTGGCTCTTAGCAGCCACTTGGAGGAGTTTGCATTGAGGGCAATAGGGAGCCGTGGAAGGGTTTTCAAAGCAGGAAATGGTGTAAGCAGATTTGACTCCAGTGTGGAGAGTGGATGGGAGGGCTCCAAAGCTGATCTGAAGATGGTTACGAGGCCAGAGCAGTGACCAGGGGCAGGACAAGTAGGTGGCACATGTGACCTGATGCGGAAGCCCTGCTTTGGTGCCCAGGTGTCTTTCTAGGCCACTTGGACCAGAGGGCTACCCCTTCCCCCTCCCCCACCGTTCCTTGACTAGGAGATGAGGCTCACAGGGCATTGTGAGGCGAGCCTCAGAGCTCCGGGGGCTGGGGCTTGAGAGGCTCAGAGTCCTCCTTTCTGGCCCCAGGCTTCAGAAGAAACACCTCCAGCAGGAGAAGGAGTGCCTCATGTCCAAGCTGGTGGAGGCGGAAATGGATGGGGCTGCCGCAGCCAAGCAAGTCATGGCCCTGAAGGATACCATCGGGAAGCTGAAGACGGTGGGTGGTAGGCAGAGCCACCTAGCCCTGCGACTGGGCCCCAAGAGGGGGCAGTCACAAGCGAGGGTGGGGGCTTTACGCAGTCATCAGGCTGACTTTATGACATCTCCAGGCGGGGGAAGGGCACACTGAACTCCTCAGTTCCCATCCCCCACCCTCAGGTCCAGGGCCAGACCCTTAAGGATGACCTCTGATGGCCAGGGCCTCTGAGGAGACCTCGTCATGGGTCTCTTGGGATCACCCCACCATCTGATTCCTGCAAGTACAGTATCAGCCACCAGGTGGTGTCTGCTTCCTCTAAGAAGCTTGCCTTGACTGCACTCACCCACACCGAGTTTCCCCGCTATCGCTGTCGGCAGGCTCAGATCCTGCCCATCCTTCCAGGTCCAAGACCTCCAGGAATCCTGTCCTTGCCATCCTGACCCTGTACACAGCCCAGGTCTTTGCTGGGCTTCCGGGCACCAGCCAGTACCTCTTAAGTCCTGGTGTGGCCTGCCTCTGCCAGCTCCTCCCTTCTCTCCCTGCACCATGTAAGGCTTCTTGCTGTCTTCCAGGAAAAACAAATGACCTGTACGGACATCAACACCCTTACGAGGCAGAAGGAACTTCTCCTGCAGAAGCTGAGCACATTTGAGGAAACCAACCGTACCCTCCGAGACCTACTGAAGGATCAGCACGGCAAAGAGGTGAGCTCCCGGCTCACATCCACCCCTAGCACCACATGCCCACCCTCTCTGAGCCTGTCTCATCTTCTGTGAACAAATAATACTCTTGGTGACTGACCTGAGAGGGCTGTTGAAAGATTTGACAAAATCATTCACATTGAGTGTTGGCCCCTGGTGGACGTGGAAGCTGGACTGGGCTGCACAGAAAGGACCTTGGGAGTCAAGAGAAGGGCAGTGGGGAGTCGGGGAGGAGTTCAGCCCGTTCCAGAGCTCGTGCAGCAATACAGGGAGAGTATTAGACCTGAGTTTGGGGGAGTAGAAGAAAGACGAACTGCCGGCGGACACAGATTGTGTGGTATCACTTCATCTTCTTAAAAGATGGTCAGTGAAATATGTTTTATGTTAGAAAATGATTCTGAAAAGACTGACAACTATAAACATCCATCTTCCTGCTTGGTTCAAAGCAAAGGGTTACCAAAGATATCAAAGTCCCTGTGCTGTTGAAATGATGACACTTTTCTTAGTTGAGTGTCTTTTTGTCCCGGTATTGTCAACTTTTCTTGTTTTTACTTTTTAAAATTAATGTTTAAAATGAGTAATAATATGTGTTGTTCAGCATTCCAAACAAAACCTTGTCCACATGGTTAAATCTCTCTTGTGTCTTCTTTGGCAATAACCCCTCATCTCCCTTCCTTCAGGGACCTTTATCTCAAATCTGATAGTTTTATCATTTACGTATATATCTTTAAGCAACATTTGGTATTGTTGAGCATGTTTTCAAACTTTACATAAATGGTATTATTCCACATATGTTCTATTGAGCTTGCTTTTTTTCCACTCAATATTTTTATGAGATTGATCCTTTTTTTTCCTTGTGGCTTAAGGTAATTAATTTTCACTGCTATGTCCTATCTTATGACAATACCACAATTTGTGTGTCCATTCTTCTGTTGGTGGAGACCTACTTTCAGATCTTTGCTATCACAGGTGGTGTTATTTGAGCATCAGTGTACACTATCCCAGTGGGCTTGAGAGTTTCTAGACTATATTTCTATGAATTGTACTAGTTACAGAGAAGTTATTTCCTTAAAATTGTAATAACTTTTATTTCTAGCTCAGTGTTCTCAGATGGGTGGTTTTTACCTCTCTGATTTGTGGCAGCTAAAATGCCCAGCAGAAAGCCTCCTCTTGGTACATGCCCAGTGGTGTCTATTTTAGTTGCAAAACCTGGGACCAACCTTATTACCCAGAGGTTATGGGGAGAGTTTAAAAATAATGCAGTGGCACGTTAGAGACAGAAAGCAGAGGAGAGGTGGCCGGGGAGGGGAATGGAGGCTGGCTGCTTAACAGGTCATGGTGAGGACTGCCTCCAAATGTTCTGTATGCCACAGAATTTTATATCAGTAGTTAAAATGGCACAGTTTATGTTTTAAGTATTTTACCGCGTAAAAAAAAATTAATAATGAAATGTACCAAAAACCACTGAATTGTACATTTTAAATGGGTGATTTGTATGGTATCTGAATTTATATCTTAATAAAACTATTTTAAAAAATCCAGGTGTAGCACAAAAGCAGTATAATAACATTTTGGTAAAATTACACATGAATTAGAGTGGAAGGGGAGGTAAAGGTAGGGAGAGAGAAACATCGATGTGTGAGAGACACATTGATTGATTAGCTTCCGTAGGCACCCTGATTGGGGCCTGGGTTCAAACCTGTGACCCTTCAGTGCACAGGCTGATGCTCTAACCACTGAGAAACCAGCCACGGCAAAAGAAAATTTTTTTAAATTGATTTTGAGAAAGAGGGAGGGGCAGGAAAGGAGAGAGAGAAACATCAATTTGTCCCACTTATTTATGCATTCATTGGTTGATGATTGCATTTACCCTGTCCTGGGATAGAACCTACAACCTTAACGTATAGGGAATTGAAATTATGGCTAAACTAGTGGCCTGGTGCATGAAATTTGTGCACATTAAAAGGGAATTAGAGGAAATCCTCCTATCTAATAAAAGAGCAATATGCAAATTGACCATCACACCAACACACAAGATGACCACCCCATGTGGTCAAAGATGGCTGCTCGGGAGAAACCAAGATGGTGGCATAGGTAAACACCGGAAATTGCTGCCTCCCACAACAACTTCAAAAATACAACTAAAAGACAAAATGGACATCATCCAGAACTACAGGAAGGCTGGCTGAGTGGAAATTCTACAACTAGAAGGAAAGAGAAAAGCACACTGAGACTCAGAGGAGGTGCGGAAGTAAAGTGCAGAGGTACGGAGGCGCACGCGGCAAGGGCTGACAACTGAGGACGCGGATGTCTTATCGAATCGGGAGGGAGTCACAAGCCCCCGACTCCCCTGAACTCCAGTTCCCGGTGAGTCTCTGGGGACCCAGACTCATACAGGGAGAAACTGGACTGTCTGGCAGCAGGCAGAACTCAGAACTTGACGGCGGCTTTCTCTCAGAGGTGCTTGCAATGATTACTGGGACACTGAGACGCGCGGCCCCTTAGGGCAGGACTGAGGATCAGCCATAGCTGTTTGCTCCGCCCTGTTGATTCCCTGAGACCCCGCCCCACCCAAGCTGCGGCAGAGGCTTTTGCATATGAATGCCCTGGCCTTTGCAATCTGAAAATTACCTAACAAACTGCAGCTGGGCCAGACAGACTCAGAACTTCCAAGAAAAGGCCCAAAGCCCCACAGCAGCTTACATTGCTTCACAGCTGGGCCTCATCTGGGCACCTCCAAACCCCAAACAAGGAAGGGGAATCTGCAGATCTCTTCGTAGCTCCTGCTGGGTAGCCTCAGGCAGAGGCTGAATTAGCACCTCCTTAGATCCAAGAGCCAGTGTACCCAGTGGTCAGAGTGGGACCATCCAGATTACAACTCCTCAGATCCATAAGGGAAACACTCAGGGGGCAGACTCAGTGAGCACCAAAGCCCCACTGAAGCAAGTCTTGCCCCATAAGGGTGTCTTCAGCACAGAAGTTCTCCCACAGTAGACACAGCTGATTCTCACAGCCAATTGGCCTGGAGGTCAATTCTTCCCAGTGATACCTACAACAATCAAGGCTTAACTACAACAAGACTGTGCACAAAGCCCACAAGGGGGTGCACCAAGAGTGTCCACCTCAGGTAATTGGGGAGGCTGAGCCACTGGGCCCTATAGGACACCTAGCACACAAAGACACTCTATCGACACAGGGAAGCATAAAAAATGCGGAGACAAAGAAACAGGACACAAATGACAGAAATGGAGGAAAGGAAACTACTGGATATAGAGTTCAAAACCACACTTTTAAGGTTTTTCAAGAATTTTCTAGAAACTGCAGATAAACTTAATGAGACCCTCAAGAAATCTAGTGAGACCCTCAAGGTTGTGATAAAAGACCAACTAAAAATTAAGCATACACTGACTAAAATAAAGAATATTATACAGACTCCCAACAGCAGACTAAAGAATCCCAAGAGTCAAGTCAAAGATTTGAAATACGAAGAAGCAAAAACACCCAACCGGAAAAGTAAAATGAAAAAAGAGCCCTGGCTGGTTTGGCTCAGTGGATGGAGCGTTGGCCTGTGGACTGGGGGGTCCCAGGTTCGGTTCCGGCCGGGGGCATGTGCCTTGGTTGCGGGCGCGTCCCCGGTGGGAGGTGTGCAGGAGGCAGCTGATCAATGTTTCTGGCTCTCTATCCCTCTCTCTTCCCCTCTGTAGAAAATCAATAAAATATATTTAAAAAAAAAAAAAAGAATCCAAAAATATGAAGATAGTGTAAGGAGCCTCTGGGACAGCGCACCAACATCCGAATTATAGGGGTGCCAGAAGAAGAGAGCAAGATATTGAAAACCTATTTGAAGAAATAATGACAGAAAACTTCCCCTACCTGGTGAAAGAAATAGACTTACAAGTCCAGGAAGCGCAGAGAACCCCAAACAAAAGGAATCCAAAGAGGACCACACCAAGACACATCATAATTAAAATGCCAAGGGCAAAAGACAAAGAGAATCTTAAAAGCAGCAACAGAAAAACAGTCAGTTACCTACAAGGGAGTACCCATATGACTGTCAGCTGATTTCTCAACAGAAACTATGCAGGCCAGAAGGGAGTGGCAAGAAATATTCAAAGTGATGAATAGCAAGAACGTACAACCAAGATTACTTTATCCAGCAAAGCTATCATTCAGAATTGAAGGTCAGATAAAGAGCTTCACAGATAAGAAAAAGCTAAAGGAGTTCATCACCACCAAACCAGGATTATATGAAATGCTGAAAGGTATTTTTTAAGAAGAGGAAGAAGAAAAAGGTAAAGATAAATATTATGAACAGCAAATACATATCTATCAACAAGTGAATCTAAAAATCAAGTGAATAAAAAATCTGATGAACAGAGTAGACTGGTGAATATAATAGAACCAGGGACATAGAAAGGGAGTGGACTGACAGTTCTTTGGGAGAAAGGGGTGTTGGTGGTGCAGGAAGAGACTGGACAAAAATCGTACACCTATGGATAAGGACAGTGGGAAGGGTAAGGGTAGAGGGTGGGGTGGGAACTGGGTGAAGGAGAGCTATGGGGGGAAAAAAGAGGAACAACTGTAATAATCTGAACAATAAAGATTTAATTAAAAAAAAATCTAAAAAAAAAAAAAAAGATGGCTGCCCCCATGTGGACACAAGATGGCCAGCAGCGGGGGGCAGTTGGGGAAGATCAGACCTGCAGGAGAGGGCAGTTGGGGGGGACCAGGCCTGCAGGGGACGGCAGTTGGGGGGGACCAGGCCTGCAGGGGAGGGCAGTTGGGGGCAATTGGGCCAGCAGGGGAGCAGTTAGGTGTCAATCAGGCCGGCAGGGGAGTGTTTAGGGCAGCCGTGGGCAAACTACGGTCCGCGGGCCGGATCCGGCCTGCTTGAAATGAATAAAACCAAAAAAAAAAAAAAGTCCGTACCCTTTTATGTAATGATGTTTACTTTGAATTTATATTAGTTCACACAAACACTCCATCCATGCTTTTGTTCTGGCCCTCCGGTCCAGTTTAAGAACCCATTGTGGCCCTCGAGTCAAAAAGTTTGCCCACCCCTGGTTTGGGGGCTGATCAGGCTGACAGGTGGAAGCGGTTAGGGGCAGGCAGGCAGGCAGGCAGGCAGGCGAGTGGTTGGAAGCCTGCAGTCCTGAATTGTGAGAGGGATGTCTGACTGCCTATTTAGGCCCGATCCCACACTGGGCAGTCGGACATTCCTTGAGGGGTCCCAGATTGGAGAGGGTGCAGGCTGGGCTGAGGGATAGACCCTCCCCGCCTCCCCTGTGCACGAATTTTGTGCACTGAGCCTCTAGTATTTTAATGTTGCTGTTTGCCCTTCATAATGGAAGTGTCAGAGATGAAAGAAAATTAGTAAAATGTATATGAAAATTTTTAAAAAAATTACACATAAATCTCTTTCTATTCCCCAAAAGATAATATATCTCTGTCCTTAAATAAATGCATAGAGGAAGGATGGGCGAGACACTCGTCAAACTAATAACAGAACGGGGGTGAGGAGGACGAGCTTTATCTGCTCACTAATATTTCATAGTGAGAATATAATTTATTACCTTAATAACTAGAAGTGTAATTTTGGAAAAGAGAACCAATAGAATGTAGCCATCTGGGTTTATTGCTTAATGACTCTGCTTTCCCTTTGCCTTCCTTGGAAGGATTCCGGAAGGCTGATGGAGCAACAAGGAACACTTCTGAAACGGCTGGCAGAGGCAGACTCTGAGAAAGCGGTACGTCAAGCGCCCCTGCCTGCTCTAGTGGGCGCCTCGACAAAGCTGCCAGTGCTGAATGGAGGCAGGAAGACTGCAGCCCCACTCTGAGCTTCCTCTGGGTCTTAGTTTCATGATCTGTATAATGGGCTGATGTCCCCTGTCCTGTCTGCTCCACTGGGCTTATCTAGTTGATCAGTTGAGAGTTTGAGCCACCAAGCTGGACACCAACCTGAGAGCTGGTGGTGATGATGGAATTACAAATCATGACCATCTGTCACCTAAATTTTCGTATTTGTATTATGGATTAAAAGCCATCAAAGGGGATGGGCTCTGTCTGGATCACACCCACGCCTTTCTTCCCTCTCCGGTGTGCATCTTACTTTTCTCTCCTAAAACTCTAAGAGCCACCAAAGGAGGAACCAAGGGAGCAACGAGCAGCAGCAGCTCATCCTGCGTTTCCCACCTGAACCTGCCTCCGAGACCCCTTTTCTCTGCCTTCAGGAGCTACCAGCAGCCCCACCGTAGCTCACTTCTTTCACTGTGACTTTGCCTTCTCAGTGACTCCACACTCCCAGCGTGGCCCACTTCTTCCCCAGAGGGCCAGAGCCGCACCGCGTCGTCTCTCTCATTTTGCTGCTCTGTCCTAGATCTTCAGGGAGCTCTAGCAGTCCCACCTTGGCTCGCGTCTCTCCTGTAACATTTCTAGGGAGCCAGAGCAGACCACTGCCTAGGCTTCTGCTCCTTCCACCCTAAGCCCTGCCTTTGTTTCACTGGGGAAAAAAGCCATCAAAAGGTATAGACCTTTTTTTTTTTCCAAACATGTCTTTATTGATTTTTAGAGAGAGGGGCAGGGAGAGGGAAAAGGGAGAAATAGAAACGTGGATGACAGAAAAACATTGATCAGCTGCCTCCTGCACGCCCACTACTGGGGATGGAGCCCACAAACTGGGCATGTGCCCTGACCGGGAATTGAACCGTGACCCCCTGGTTCATAGGTAGACGCTCGACCACTGAGCCTCTCTGGCTGGGCAGGTATAGACCTTTTGACTCAACAATTCCAATTCTAGGAATGCCTCCCTCAGCAGCGTGTTCCAGAATTCACTCCATGGAACCCTCAGTTCCTCAGGATGTTAAATGGGTGAATTTTACTAGTGACAGTGAAATTATTCTCTGTGGAATTACTGAAATAACTTTTATTTACAAAACAAAGTGGGGAGTGACTCATAACCAAGTTTATTTGAGAAACTGCCAACTGGCCTAAACAAAAGGTACGTGCAGCAGGTTTCTTAACTCGAGGACCTTTTGGAGCCTTTGATATGTTAGTGCCCAACATGCTTCCCAAGGCCCTCAATGCCTCATGAGCATCTCTGAGTTCAGCAGTGATGTTGAGGCCTAAACCTGCATTCCCAGCCTGAGAAACCTGGTCAAATTGTGATACATTAGTAACTTGAAACATTAAGCTGCTGTTTCAGAAGCTGTGGAAGATTTAATTACATTATGGCAAATGTGGGCGTGTAATTTACTGAACAGAAGAAGCATATGGCTTTCTTGTTGTTGTTAATCCTCATCTGACGATATTTATTCCACTGATTTTTAGAGAGTGTAGAAGGGAGAAAGGTGGGGGTGGGGAGAGAAACATTGATGTAAGAGAGACGCATCGATTGGTTACCTCCCGCATGCACCCCACTGGGAGCCAGGGATTGAACCTGCAACCCAGGTATGCGCCCTTGACGGGGAATCGAACCTGGGATCTTTCAGTATGTGGGGTAATGCTCTACCACTGACTTACACCAGCCAGGGCAAAGCATATAACTTCTTTTTTGTTATTGTTTTGTTTTTTGGTGACGAAATACAGGACCATATAACTTTTTCTTCCTCTTCCTCCTCCTCCTCTTCCTCTTCTTTTTCTTCTTCTCCTTTGAGAGAGAGAGAGAGAGAGAGAGAGAAACATCAATGATGAGAGAGAATCATTGGTTGGCTGCCTCCTGCACGCCCCCCTACTGGGGGAGATCGAGCCTGCAACCCGGGCATATGCCCTTGGCCGGAATTGAACCTGGAACCCTATAGTCCAGCCGTCTCCAAACTTTCGGACCTCAGGGACCATCAGTGGTCCACGAACCACCGGTTGGCGACTGCTGCTTTAGTCCGCAGGCTGATGCCCTATCCACTGAACCAAACTGGCTCGGGCGCATATAACTTATTTAATGTCTGTTAACAGTGTTCTCTGGGTGGGGAGTATCGGGGTTCTTTAGCATTTTTGTGTGTTTTTTAGTGTTTTCCACAATTAATGTTACTTAATTTTAAATTATAAAATAAATACATGTTTATTGTCCTAAATATTTAATACAGATGTTAGGTGCTTCCCACCAGGGTCTCTGACATGGGCCAATATATTTGGGACCTTGGGCCCTGGTGGCCAGGCACACAATGGAGTGTGTCTCCTCTCGGGACTGGGCCTCCTTGCCCTTTCCAGGGAGCTCATGACTGTGTGTGTTCTCTCCAGCGGCTGCTGTTATTGCTGCAAGACAAGGACAAGGAGGTGGAAGAGCTCCTCCAGGAAATACAATGTGAGAAGGTACCGTCCCAACAGCTGCTCCCTCCGACTGGCTAGTAGAGCTCAGTGGCTACAGTGCGCCCTAGAATCGGAGACCTGGATTCAAATTCTGGCTTTATCTTTCTCCATCTGTCCAAAGGCTCAAGCAAAGACAGCATCCGAACTCTCCAAGTCCATGGAGTCCATGCGTGGGCATTTGCAGGCACAGCTTCGGAGCAAAGAGGCAGAGAACAGTCGCCTGTGTATGCAGATCAAGGTACCTGCTAGCCCCACCAGGGGTGGGGAGGGAAGTGGGGGCAGGTTCCTGGCAGTCCAAGGGCGGTTGCCTGGCCAAGCCTATCACACTCAGGAAGGTTTTGCCCCAAAGGATTATGGGGCAGCTGCTACCAAAGCACTTGTGCTTCAGGGAGACTCTGGGACAGTAGCAAGAGCAATGGACCTGGAGGTCTTGAGTGCCCTTCACAGCAGTGACTGGGTTGATTTTCAGGCCTCCATGCCGATCACTTCATCCCTTAGGCCCTCAGTTCTCCTAACTGCCCATGGGGAGGAAGGATGGCCTCAGTGCTGATTGCATCTGTGAACTGGGGACTCGCTAAAGTCACAGACCCGCTGAGTGTCAGGGAGAACCCCGACTGCTGTGCTGGGAGTTCAAGGAAAGACTCCAGAGGCATTCTAACCTAAGACCTGAGGGCTCAGTGACCCAGGGAGGTGCTGTGGCGAGCCTGCGACGGGCCCTCGTCTCCGGGCTGTGTTAGGGGAGCCCTAACCCCCTGCAGTTTGTGACTCATTCTTACTCCCTCTCCCCCATTCCCTCTTTTCACTGGTCCCCTTTTCTCCCTCTCTCCCTTTGACTCTTGCTCACCTCGTCCCTCTCCTTTCAATCTGCTCCCTGGCCCTCCCCCCCAGAACCTGGAACGCAGTGGGAACCAGCACAAGGCGGAAGTGGAGGCCATCATGGAGCAGTTGAAGGAATTGAAGCAAAAGGGAGATCGAGACAAAGAGTCTTTAAAGAAGGCCATCCGAGCCCAGAAGGAACGAGCTGAGAAGAGCGAGGAGTATGCCGAGCAGCTGCACGTGCAACTTGCTGACAAGGTACAGGCCTTCGCTGTGGAGGGCTGCCGGAGATGGCGGGGGTGGTTAGACAGGTGGGTACTGGGTGGTGGCTGAATGCAGGTGGTTTGGGTGGATGGAGGAGGAAAAGCTGGATAGAGGAGGCTGGGTGGGTGAATGGAGGGAAAATGGCACTGAGTGGGTGAATGAGCTGATAGGATGGATAGCTGGGTGGAGAGGGAGGTAGAGGGAGGATTAACTGGGTAAAAGGGTAATAAAGAGGTTGGAAGGATGACTGGACAGTTTAGCCACTTGGATGTTGTGGGTAGGAATGATGACTAAGGAAGGATTAGCAAACAGGTGCATGTGATTGTTGGAAATCTAAAAGCAACAGCTGGCCTCCCGTCACTCTCGGTGCTCTCTAGAGAGGGATTGCAGGAGGGAGGGTTCGGGGTCGGCCAGGGTGACCCAGCCCCCAGTTCCCTCGGCCTGAGCACTCACACCAGGCTGATGGGCCCTGCTGTCCCGTGTTCCAGGATCTTTATGTTGCTGAAGCTTTATCCACTCTGGAGTCATGGAGGACCCGCTACAACCAAGTTGTGAAAGACAAGGGGGACCTTGAGCTGGAAATTATTGTCCTGAATGAGTACGTCTGTGTTGGGAGAGGGAGCGCAGGCCGACTGAGGGAGGTGGGTGTGTGGGTGGGAGGAGCCTGGCGACCCGAGGCGGTCACATCACTCACAGGGCTGACATTTGGCCTCCTCCGGTCAAGGGTTGCATTGGACCGTGATGTGGGCAGCCCTGAGGTGGGCTTTCTGGTTGGACCCCAGGTCCTGGTTCCAGCCCCAGTACCCGCGGTCCTGCCCCCCAAGCAGTCCTGGGGCCAGGCTTCTCTGCTGACAGAGGCTTGGGCCTGACTGCAGCCCCTGGGGTGGGTCCTGATCTGCACACCACAGGAAGTGGGCACGGGCCCACTGGTCACCTCATTCCTGTTCTTGGGGATGGGATGGCCGGTAATCCCTGCGTCTCTGCTATTTTGCCAGCCAGTCAGTATGTCAGCATTATGGCCTCACTGTGTACTCTCCAATGATTATTCAATCATTCTCAGTCTCAGCTGTATTCATGTGTTCACTCAGTTAAAAATATTGAGCATCTCCTATATCCAGGCTATGTGCTGGCCTTTAGGGTTACAGCAGTAGAAACAACAGATGCATTCTCTGCTCTCATGGAGGTTCCACTCAGATGGAGGCGATGGGGCTCCAGAGACCTGGACTATCTAGGCCAGCCGTGGGCAAACTACGGCCCTCGGGCCGGATCCGGCCTGTTTGAAATGAATAAAACTAAAAAAAAAAAAGACCGTACCCTTTTATGTAATGATGTTTACTTTGAATTTATATTAGTTCACACAAACACTCCATCCATGCTTTTGTTCCGGCCCTCCGGTCCAGTTTAAGAACCCATTGTGGCCCTCGAGTCAAAAAGTTTGCTCACCCTTGATCTAGGCTGAGAACAGGTCACAGGGGACTGAGTCTCCAGGTCAGGAAAGTCTTCCCTGAGGAAGTGTCTTTTGTTGTATTCAACTCAAGTTAGCAAACATTTCTTAAGAACCTGCTATGTGCCAGGCCCTATGCCAACTGCTACCCTCAGAAAGTTCTCCCTCTAATGGGAGGAAACAGATCATTATGATAGAAGGATGTGCCGTAACCGGTTTGGCTCAGTGGATAGAGCGTCGGCCTGTGGACTGAAAGGTCCCAGGTTCAATTCTGGTCAAGGGCATGTACCTTGGTTGCGGGCACATCCCCAGTAGGGGGTGTGCAGGAGGCAGCAGATCGATGTTTCTCTCTCATCGTTGTTTCTAACTCTCTATCCCTCTCCCTTCCTCTCTGTAAAAAATCAATTAAAAAAAAAAAAAAGATAGAAGGATGTATGGTACAGGAGTGAGATGCCCTGAGGAAGGAGATCTGAACTGGGTTCTTAAGGGTGAGTAGGAGTTTGCCAGGGAAAACATGATGTGTTTGCTTGGGCCTAGTCAGTGCTGACTGAACCATAATTGATTGATACTGAGAACATACAGCATGGAAAGGTTCTGTATTGGGTCTGTGGTCAAGATGGACGAGGAGCATCTGTGAGCGCCAGTGCTGCTCTGAGGCTTGGATGATTGCCCTGCTCAGTGACTGAGGGGAAGGCGAAGGGCTCGAGCGCAGGTGGGCAGCGCCTGCCGAGTGGACTGCTTTCCCTGTTTCATATCCATTCATTGCCATTCTTGCCTGCGCTGGGTGAGTGCTCACACCTGAATAAGCCAATCATGACACCTGTCCTTGCCCGGGAGCCTGAACCCCAGTGTGATGTGTGCCTGAGGGACAGGCCTGCCTAGGGTGTGGTATCCCTGACCACCCCGCCAGGAGTTCTGTCCTAACGTTAAGGCCTGATTGCCTGAGAGATGCAGGGGAGGCTGTGGGAGCTGGGAAGGGATCAAGTCTCTGGTCCTTATCTTCAGGAAGTGTCTCAGCCTCATGGGAAGTCAGAATGGAGAAGGCTTTTAGAGGGGTTGGTATGGGAGACAAATCTCAAAGGTGGTTATCAGAAGTGGGATACAGGGGAATGCCACAGGCAGCAATGCCAGGGCACGACATACAACTGCTTCTCAGAGTGGAGACTGGGGGAGCAGGCAGGGGGCAAAAGGGGGGACATGGCCTGAGTAGGAACACTTGACCCCTCTGCTCACAAAGACTGGGCTCCTCAGAACCTGTGTAATCGATTCTCCTGTCTGCTTTCACTTTGTGACCTTCCAGCCGAGTGACAGATCTCGTGAACCAACAGCAAACCTTGGAGGAGAAGATGCGGGAAGACCGGGACAGCCTGGTGGAGAGACTACACCGGCAGACTGCCGAGTATTCTGCATTTAAACTAGAGAATGAGAGGCTGAAGGTCTGTATTGGGAGCTGGGGGCTGGGACAGATAGGGAACAGCAGAGAGACTGATGGCTGGGCATTCCTGCCAGAGGAAGGACCTCTGAGGAGGTCCCTCAGAGAGGACCTGGAGGGAGCAGAGGGATTAAGGCACTCTGGAGTCAGAGCGTGTATGAATGGCCACACGAGGGTTTTACTGTCTATTACTTTTATTTATTTATTTATTTATTTATTTTTAAAAATATATTTTATTGATTTTTTACAGAAAAGGGAGAGGGATAGAGTTAGAAACCGATTAGGGCAGAACTAAATTATTTTTAACTGAGTTAGTAATTTAGGTTGGGGTGACCTCGGAATATAAAACAACTTTCTGCCCTAACCAGTTTGGCTCAGTGGATAGAGCGTCGGCCTGCAGACTAAAGGCTGCCCCATTCGATTCCAGTTGAGGGCACATGTCTGTGTTAGGGCTCGATCCCCAGTAGGGGGTGTGCAAGAGGCAGCCAATCAATGATTCTCTCTCATCATTGATGTTTATATCTCTCTCTCTTCCTCTCTGAAATCAATTTTTTTAAAAATTAAAAAAGTAAAAGCAATGTCCGATAGATTTAAATTAAGACCTACTACCCAGATTCAAGTCCTGCCTCTTACCAGCTATGGGACCTGGGTGAGAGATCTCATCCTCGGTTGCTGCAAGAAATGAGGTGCTAGCCCTGACTGGTTTGGCTCAGTAGATAGAGCGTCGGCCTGTGGACTGAAAGGTCCCAGGTTCGATTCCGGTCAAGGGCATGTACCTTGGTTTCGGGCACATCCCCAGTAGGGACTGTGCTGGAAGCAGCTGAATTGATGTTTCTCTCTCATCGATGTTTCTAACTCTCTATCCCTCTCCCTTCCTCTCTGTGAAAAATCAATAAAATATATTAAAAAAAAAAAAAGAAAAGAAATGAGGTGCTGTGAGAATGCGGTGATGCATGTAAAATGCCTAACATGACACATTCAGCCAATCACATGCAGTAGACTTGACTTTGAGGTTAATTAACACTGACTCTCCTAGGGGACTCTTCCACATGAATTCATTTGCACTTTAATCTTCCAATAATGTGATTACTGTCGCTATAGAATAAGGAAATTGAGGCTTAGAGAAAGGTCAAGTTTCTTGCCAAGATTTTACCCTTGGGGGAAAAAAAAAGATTTTATCCTTGGAAGTGTTGGAGTTGGGATTTGAACCTGAGTCTGGGTCTGGAGCTCTCGCTCATAACAACTTGCCATATGTCCTCCTCTCATGCCAGGGGCAAGAGGCACCTGAATAGAGGTTGACATTTCAGAGCCAGGTTTGGTTTCCATTGATCTGGACAGTAGTATCTAGGTTTATTTATTTTAAAATATTTTTCTTGATTTCAGAGAGAGAGGGAGAGATAGAAACATCAATGATGAGAGATAACATTGATCAGTTGCCTCCTGCACGCCCACTACTGGGGATCAAACCCACAACCGGGCATATGCCCTGACTGGGAATTGAACCGTGACCTCCTGGTTCATAGGTCAATGCTCAACCACTGAGCCACACCAGTTGGGCTAGGTTTATTTTTTTAGTCATGTTTTCTGTTTGTTAAGAATGATTTTAAGTAAGTACACCATACCAAAATGAACACACTATGTCCATCAGTCACCCTGATTGGACCTTATTAGCACCCCTATGACATTGTCTGGTTACAAACTCCCCCTCAAAAGGTGACCATTATCCCGATTTCTGTCATCACAAATTAGTTTGCCTGTTTTCGAACTTGGTGCCTAGCTTTGTGAAAGTTATCCATGTTGTGTGTGGCATTTTATTCATTCTCAATGCTATAAGTATGGCTGCACCGTAATTTATTCATCCTACTGGGGATGGACATTTGGGTTATAGAACATCTTTTTATGTGCATATTTCATGTATTTTTACAGGTTGTTTTTTTTTGTTGTTGTTTTTTTATATATTTTATTGATTTTTTACAGAGAGGAAGGGAGAGAGATAGAGAGTTAGAAACATCGATGAGAGAGAAACATCGATCAGCTGCCTCCTGCACATCTCCTACTGGAGATGTGTCCGCAACCCAGGTACATGCCCTTGACCGGAATCGAACCTGGGACCTTTCAGTCCGCAAGCCGACGCTCTATCCACTGAGCCAAACCGGTTTCGGCTACAGGTTGTTTTTTTAAAATATATTTTTATTGATTTCAGAGAGGAAGGAAAAGGGAGAGACAGATAGAAACATCAATGATAAGACAGAACCATTGATTGGCTGTCCTTTGCAAGCCCCCTACTGGGGATCAAGCCCACATCCTGGGCATGTGCCCCTGACCAGAATCGAATCCGGGACCCTTCAGTCCGCAGGCCGATGCTCTATCCACTGAGCCAAATCAGCCAGGGCTATTTTTACAGGTTTTATACCTTGAAATAGCATTGCCAGGTCATCTGGTGGTGTGCATAAGTTTGGCTTTGGTAGATATTACTATACAAGAAACTAATTGTGCAAATTTACACTCCCATCAGGGACATGTGAGAACCAGTTGCTCCATGTCTCCTCGTCAACACAACACATCAGACTTTGTTGGAGTGCAGGTATTGCAATGCAAATTAAAGACAGCCTCGCCCTACCTGGTTTGGCTCAGTGGAATAGTGTGTCAGCCTGCGGACCAAAGGGTCCCAGGTTCGATTCCATTCAGTGGCTCGTACCTTGGTTGCAGGATCCTCCCTGGCCCAGGCCGTGGTTCATGCAGGAGGTAACTAATTGATGTGTTTCTCTCTCATCAATGTTTCTCTCTGTCTTTCCCTCTCTTTTCCACTCTCCCTAAAAATCAATAGAAAAATATCTCGGGTGAGGATTAACAACAACAACAAAAAGACAGCCGCCAAGCCTAACAATTAGTTGAGTTACTTACAGGTTGATATATCTATGTAAGGTAATGTAGTGTGGCCATTCAGTGAAATTTGTAGAAGTGTATTTTCTTAGATATTATAATTACAAAGGTAAAATCTGCTCATAGTAAAAATGTAAAACATTACAGAAATGTGATATAGAAGTAAAGGTCTCTGTTAACTGTGGATTGTATTTTTCCAGGGCCCCTCCCCCACATACTAACATACATATTCAAACACATACACACGCATTCATCCATTCTTCTGCAGCTTGCTTTCTTCATTCAACAATATCTCATGGAGGTCTTTTTTTTTTAAAGCTTTATCTCTTCTAATGACTGCTTATTATTTTATCATATCGAGATACATGATTTGTTTTGTCCCATCTGCTAAGGTGAGTATTTGGGTTGCAGGAGGACATTTATTGACCTCAGAAGTAGTTCATAACATAATTGTTGAAAAAACATGTTGCAAAGCAATAAGTATGGTATAGCTCCATTCTTGTTGAAAATTCAAACTGCTACCCAACTGTTAATATATAGCCATAAACCAAGGTATCATGCATCCTGATTCATTTTTTCTTGGCCTTATCTCCATTTTCTTTACTGCTTATTACTGCTTTTGTAATGAGAACAAGAAAACACGTGTCCCTTTTTTGTATCTATATTCACTCGAGCACCGTAGGACTCTTGCCCTGGTGCCAGAGGAGAACCCCTGGTGTGGGTTTGAACAGAGGGGCTTCCCTTGGCTGGCCCCTGGGAGTAGGAACTGAGGGCGGGATGATCACCGGCTCGGAACCTTCTTGTTGGTGACTTACGGGGCCACCTCTTCTAGGCTAGCTTCGCTCCAATGGAGGACAAACTCAATCAGGCACACCTCGAGGTCCAGCAGCTGAAGGCATCGGCTAAGAATTATGAGGGGATGATTGACAACTATAAGAGTCAGGTAGGACTCTCTCAAGTGCCCCTGCCCTGTAAGGGCAGCACCTCTCAGCTGCTGGAAGATTGACCAGGAGGCCTTTCCTGGGAGGGGTTTGGTGTGGAAGGTTTTTTTCACCAAAACGTGGCTCTGCCCAAGACCTCCTGATGCTTTGTTGGTCCCTAGGTGTTGAAGACCAGATTAGAGGCCGATGAAGTCGCTGCCCAGCTGGAACGCTGCGACAAAGAGAACAAGATCCTTAAAGATGAGATGAACAAAGAGATTGAAGCGGTACTGCTCCCCTTCCTTGCTTTCTTCCTCCACCCAATTCTGTGTCCAACAGTCTGTCTCTCATTTGCCTTTGATCTTCCCTGGTGTGGACAACAAAGATGAACAGATTTTCTTATTGCTGGGCTGGTCTTCTCTACATTCTCTCATCTCTTCTCGCTTATACTTCTTTTTCTCCTTTTCCCTCCTGATTTTTTCATTCTTCCAGCTTCCTTAAAAAAAATCTCTCCTGCTTGGAGCATCCAAGTGGATTCAAATCCAGAGATATGCCATGTGTTAGGCGTGCCTATTTCGTTCTGCGTGTTGTCTTTATTTTGTGCCATCCAAAAGTTGTGCCTCCTGTCCTGCTCCCCAAAGAGCCTTATTCGTCTAGAGTTGGCTTGGCTGTCTAGAAGCAAACAATCATTTTAGTAATAACCTCGGAGATGAGCTGAGTCCAGGCTCAGCCACCGACTTGTTGCGTAACCGTGGGCAAGTCACTGCCCTTCTCTAGTCCTCAGTCTCCTTGTTAATTTATACAAGGGGGGATTGAGATCAGGTGGTTCTTACCCTTCCCTCTGACCTACAGCTTTGTGGTTGCCTTTCTAGGGCTTGGGCGTTAAACTAGGCTCTGATCTTGGCTCTAGCTCAATGGCCATTGGCAAATGAGCCTTTGATCCTTAAGGTCCATATATGGGGAAAACAACACCTACTTTACAGGTTGTATGAATTAAACGAGTTAATTCATAGAGCCTTTGGGACAATGCCTGGGTGCTGGTGGTGGTATTTGATGATGACTGGACACGCTCAGTGGCCTGCAGGAGGGCAGGCTGCACTTCTTGACCCTTCAGCAGCTGGGCCCTTCCCTACAGTGGGCTTTTCCTCCCCCACCCCAGGCACGTAGGCAATTCCAGTCCCAGCTGGCTGACCTGCAGCAGCTGCCTGACATCCTCAAGATCACCGAGTCTAAGCTTGCAGAGTGCCAAGACCAGCTGCAGGGCTACGAGAGGAAGAACATCGACCTCTCAGCCATCATATCAGATCTGCGCAGCCGGGTAAGGGACTGGCAGAAAGGGTCCCACGAACTGGCCCGAGCAGGGTCCCGCTTACCGAGATGAGCTGCACGCCCCCCAAGGGAGGACCACTTCTTTTTTCTTGGCTGCCGTTTCTGAAAGGAGTGAGCTATCATCAGTGCTGTGAAATAAAAGTCTGGTGTGCCAAAAGCCTCGTGTTCGCACCGAGTGATTATAGTTATAGGAGCCGTCACTCACTGGGGTCGCCGGGCCCTCCTGTTGTTCCCCCTCCCCCAGGGCTGCACGTCTCCGCCTGCCTCTGCCCTGCCTGCTCCGCTGCTGTCCTCAGCCTCGCACCCACAGGCAGCAAGCCACGGGCGTACTTTTTTTTCCATTTTCTTGCTTTAGCTGCCTCCCCTACTCAGCAGAGCCATTGCCTGAGATTCTGTCCTGAAAGAGGGCTCCCTTCCTCCCAGAAGCAGCCTGCCTCTGGGTAACGGGCGCCATGCCTACGATGCCTCAGAAATTACATGCCTCTCACCTGCAGGGTGGCCTTGGGCAGGGCCCTTTCCCTCTCTGGACCTGCTTCACTAATAATAATAAAAGTAGCTACCGTCTCTAGAGCACATGCCGTGCTCCACCATCCTCCATTCTTCTAGGAACTTTGTAAGGTTTATTGCCCATTTTACAGCAAGCAGCCCAGGGCATAGAGGGAGAAGGAATTTCCTGAGGTCACTGAGCTGATACTTAATCAACAGGGATTGGGACCCAGCCAGCTCTGTCTGGTTCCCAAGCCTGTGTCCCCGGTATCTTCAATTACCTTGTGCTCTCGAACCTGAGCCTCTCAGGGCCTTGCAAGCCCAGATACCTGAGGTCTCTGTAGAGCATCCCTCTGGATAACTTCTCGCACTTGCCAGCCTGAACGAACTGATAGCTTTCCTCTTGCCTTGCCCGCACTTGTCCCCAATTAAGGGGAGAAGGAAATCAGCACGATGACAAAGTGATTGGTAAAGAGCTCCCCGGTGTGTCCTGTGGGCCTGCCATCTGCTTCTGCTTCTCCTGTCGGCCCCGGATCCCACTGAGTGGCCTCTCCTGAAAGAAAGCGTCGGCGTGGTTCTGCGGATCCAACCTGGCTCTGGGTGTGGGCAAGCCCAGCCGGGGAGCCGGCCCTAACCCGTCCCTGCTCTCCTCTCTCCTGCAGGTTGTGTGTGGAGACTTGGATGCCTGCTGAGGGCAGCATGCCTCTCCTGGGTGTGGATTACAGGTCAGGGAGAAGGGAGGGCCGCACTGGAAGTTCCTTCGTAAACCAGTCTGTTCCTGTCATTTTAGATCGAGCATCAGGGGGACAAGCTGGAGATGGCGAGAGAGAAACACCAGGCTTCCCAGAAGGAAAATAAACAGCTGAGTCTGAAGGTGGATGAACTGGAGAGGTTAGAGGCACTTGGTTCCAACTCTGTCCTCTTCCTAGGACCTGAGACTTTCAGCCGCTTAGCTGCTTTGGGCTTAGTGTGCTAGAAGGTGCTAGGCAGACCTCGGAGGAAAAGCTGCTGTCAGCGCAGTGGTAAGCATTGTGGGCGAGGAAGGTGGTCTCCTGCCAGGGTGATGCTCCAGAAGACAGTGGTCAACATCAGACCACCCATAGGACCAGCCGTCAGGCACACTTTGTCCAAGCAAACCCGCAGGGCCTGCAGGCTGCTGTGGGGGCATTTCCTCCCCACTCTGCTCTGTGTTCCCCATCATCCTTCCCAAAAGCATTCTGATTCTTCTCCCATGGACACAGGAGGCAGTCAGGGGTGAATACTACGCCTTTAGGAATCAGAAGCCCTGGCCTGGGGTCCGGTTATGTAATCCTTTTGAACCTCTGATTACTAATCTTGAGAAAGGGACCAAGGCAGGGAAAATAGTGTAGCACGTGGGGTTATTGTGAGTCTTCAATGAGATGAGCTTCGAAGGGCTCAGCACGTTACCTGGCAGACAAAAATGTACAGTATAGGTGGTGTGTATTGGTATTATCCCCGTTTAAATGAGAACACTGAGCTCCGGGAGAGTTCAGTGACTTGCCCAAGGTCACTCAGCTGGTACCTGGCAAAGCTGCAGTTTAGCCTCCTGTCTTCCTCCAGAGCTTCTAGCATCTGGGAAATGAGGGCTTGAGGTCCTGGGAGGCTGTACCTGCTCATGCAGCCTACAGGGAGAAACTTGAACCAGTTGGTCTCTTGGCCCCCCCCCCCCCCCTCTACTCTGCGTTGCTGGCCTCAAACATGCAGCTGGATGCGGCAGGACTTGCAGAGCTCCTTAAAGTGGAGCATTTCCACAAGTGCAGTGGCAACTGCGCTTGCACATCGGGATGGTCACTGCTGCCCATGGCTGGTCACGCGAGGTACTGAGTGGTCCGGCCGAAGTCCCTTTGCTGAAGGAGGCAGCAGTGAACAGAAGTGAGGGCATGAGTTTTGGTGACAGGCCTATCAGCTGTGTGACACTGGGCCAGTGACTTCACATCTCTGAGGCTGAGTTTCTTCATCTGAAATGGGGGGAATAAGGGAACCCACCTTCCCGGCTGCCCGTGGCTGTGTTACGTGAAGATGTGCACACTTAGCACAACAGCGCTCAATCTGCTTCCTTTTCCTGCCTCCACACCGTTCTCCAACCAGCTGCTCCAGTTGCAATTCCTTGCTGCCTGGCTGATCAGCAGGTTCCTTTGGTTTATTCCTGTGGCTCCTTGGAGGTTCCCTGCGTGACGAGAGCCCTGGTCCAGGGTGGCTGCAGCCCCCTGGCAGGGTGAACAGGGCAGGTATGGAAATGAACAGGATCTGATTGAGTGCTTTCACCTAGGAAACTGGAGGCGACCAGTGCCCAGAATATCGAGTTCCTACAGGTGATTGCCAAGAGGGAGGAGGCAATCCACCAGTCCCAGCTGCGGCTGGAGGAGAAAACACGGGAATGTGGGTCCCTGGCAAGGCAGCTGGAGAGTGCCATTGAAGATGCTAGGAGGCAGGTCAGTGTCAATTCCATTACTAATTCTGTGACCTTGGCCCAATCACATAACCTCTCTGAGCGTATTTTCCCACCTAAAAAATGGGCCTAGAGTAGTACCTGCCTCGTGAATTCACCATAAGGATCAAATGAGCAATTATTGTGAAGGACCTGACCCCTGACTCATGATTGCTCATTTAATTGTTGCCTGCATGGGATCAGACAGGCTTGTCACATCTTAGATGATGATGACTCATGGGGTGTTGGGAAAGGGCCGGTAAAGATGGTTGCTGAGGTAGTCCCCATAGTCAGCTCCCACCCTGAGGCCCCAAACAACTCGCCATGGTGATGTGAAAGTGTGGTCCTTGAGACCAGACAGCGGAGTGGCCCAGGCTTCTCCTCGCTAGGTGTTCACCGTCAGGTGGGCACCTCCAGCTCTGTTCCTTCCGGGCAGGTGGAGCAGACCAAGGAGCACGCGGTCTCCAAGGAACGAGCAGCCCAGAACAAAATCCTGGATCTTGAGACCCAGCTGAGCAGGACCAAAACGGAACTCACCCAGCTGCGGCGGAGCCGTGACGATGTGAGTCGGGCTGGAGGGCAGAGGGCAGAAGAGATGGGAGTGGATTGAACTTTGGGCTTCCTGGGACCTGCAGGGCAAGGTGTTTTGTTGTTTTATGAAAAGGACATGGTTTAATTTTTCTCTATCCCCAAAGGATACCCCTGGCAGATCCTTTGTATTTTTTTATTAACGGCTTTAAGATATCATTTTATATACCATGAAAATCACGTTTATGCAAATTTAAACTGCTTCATTCAGTGGTTTTTAGTATATTCAGAGTTATACAAGAATCATCACAATATGAGTTTAAGATATTTTTAAAAAGAAACTCTGTACCCATTAGCAGTCACTCCCCAATCCTCTCCCCGTCAGCCCCCGGGAACCCTAATAAAGTCTGTGTCGCTGTGGCCTTGTCTGTGCTGGGCATCTCACACACACTTGATCCAACTCTGCTCCTCTCGTAGGCTGACCGCCGCTACCAGAGCCGGCTGCAAGACCTGAAAGATCGCCTGGAGCAGTCGGAGAGCACCAACCGCAGCATGCAGAACTACGTCCAGTTCCTCAAGTCCTCCTACGCCAACGTGTTTGGGGATAGCCCTTACACGACCTACCTGACCAGCTCTCCCATCCGCTCCAGGTCTCCTCCTGTCTGAGGCCCGCCTGTCTTGGGCCAGGAGCCCAGACTGATGCCATGGGAACTGACAAGTTGCCAAGCCATACCTGGAAAGCCTGTTGCTTTTCCTCTCTTCCGGTGACGAAGTGTGTGTTTAGGATCTTGTGCTTAGCTACTGGCTCCATGACATCCCTGGAGCAGCAGGGCATGAAGCAGCAGGAGCCACTCAGTTCTCTCCTCTCTGCTGGAGTTGCCTGAAGGAAGTTTTTAAGTACCTTGCCAGGCCTTACATCTACTACTATGAGGGAACCAGGTTTTAACTCACTGTGACCTAGCTCATTCCTTTCTGAGAGAATGTGCGGACTGGACTTTTTCCTCCAGTCCCCTACAGCCCTCTTTCTAGAAATGTATTTAATTCTTGGACCTGAGCCAGCAGAGGTCCTCACCACCCCTCCTGGGTTATGAGCACATTTACTTCCGCTTTTCCTTATGTCCTGGGTGCGGTGTTGTCCCACGCCCGATGGAAACCTCTCGTATCCGAGTTTCCTTAAGGCCACTTGCCCCACACACTTCACAACAGACACTCAAGGGCTCGTGTCCAGTTGGCCTTTTAAAAGTGTGACCCCAAGATAATTAATTTTTGTTTCTCTTTGCCAGGTTTGTATCTATGGAATGCATTTATCCTTGAAATATTTGTGTTGCTTTACAAAAAGCTTTTATAATCAATATTTAAGACTCCGTGGATGATTTCCTTTACCCACCCCCATCCCTCTTCTAAAAATGATTACGTATAATGCTTAATGGGAGCCAGTAACTATTTTTAAAGTACTTGGTGCATGGAACATTAGATCTTTCATTTCATTGTGGCCCAGCTAGATTCTCCTGTGGGCGCTTTTTGTGAGATGACTGGAGGCATTGTTCATTGTTGGGGTGCAGACCACGTTAGCTGTTAGGAGAAAGAAAATGAGATGTGTATATATATATGACTGTTTCTAAAATGTTAATTGGTTTCTGAATGATGTATTGCCTATTTTTTTTCTCTTCACGTTTTTCCTGTATTTAAAAGAAAGAACAACAGCCCTAGCCAGTTTTGCTCAGTGGTTAGAGTATCGGCCCTCGGACTGAAGGGTCTCGGGTTCGATTCCAGTCAAGGGCGCGTACCGTGGTTGCAGGCTCATCCCGGACCCCAGTCAGGGCATGTGCAGGAGGCAAACAATTGATGTGTCTCTCTCACATCGATGTTTTTCTCGTCTCTCCCCCTCCCTTCCACTCTTTTTAAATATCAATGGAAAAATACCCTCGGGTGAGGATTAACAACAACAGCAAAAAGATTTTTAAATTGATTTGAGAGAGAGAGACAGCAAACATTGGTCAGTTGCCTCCCACACCACCCTGACCCAGGATTGAACCCACAACCCAGGTATGTGTTCCCTGAAGATGCTCCAACCGACTGAGCCACACCAGCCAGGTGACAAATTCTTTAGAGAGAACACATTCGGTACGGTGCTGAAACTTAACCTTTCCACGTAGCTGGTATTAAGCCTTCTGGCTGACCCAGTCTTGTTCTCTCTCAGCCACTATAACCCAAGTCCAAAACTCCAGAGAATTCCCCTATGTCCTCAAAGGCAGTGGCCACACCCAGGCGTCAGGATTTCATGACCAGAAAACTCCCTCCCCCCACCCCCAAATTTTGGTGACATCTGTCGTTTCCAGCTGTTAATTTTGCCAAGGAAATTCTGACAAAACAACTACTAGCCACCATTGCCACAAAGCCAAGCCTGTTTTCACACCCTTAACAAATGGACTTGAACTTACATGGACAATATATGAAAGACCTTCCCTAGAAAGGACAGTTGGCACACCAATGTACATACCTATTTATATAATTCATTCTTATTTTCATCAAACCAATGAACACCTCAGTGCAGGGCACGGGTATTTATAATGCTGGTGTGGGAAACACCTCTCCCAGTAATGTTCTGTTTGGGTTTGCTTCCCGGCCAACGCACCAAATAACAATAATAATAATGTTCTGTTTTTCTTTGTCCAGAGTTTGTAAAAAACCAACAACAAAAAAGAAAAATGTTTATATTGCTTCAAACTCCAGAGAGAAGCCTTCTATCTCAAACTAATACCATAAGACAGAAAAAAGAAGAGTCTAAACTTTAGACTCTAAAGTGAAAGGATCGGGTCTGGCCAGTGCTGTTCGGTGGTTGAGGGTCAATCCGAGTCAGGCGGTCACGGAAGCCAGTCAGGGCATATACCCCATCCCACCCTGCGATCTCAGTGGGGGGCGTGCAGGAGGCAGACAATGATTCTCATCATTGATGTTTCTATCTCTCCCTCTCCCTTCCTCTCTCTGAAATCCAAACATTTTTAAAAAGTTAAAGGGTCCGAATCAAAGCTGGCTCTGGGTAATAAAGTGTATAATTTAGTGGTTTTTAAGTGCATTCACAAAGTCGTGCAATCATCACAAGATCCTATTTTACATTTTCATCTCCCCCAAAAGAAAGCTTCATGCATTAGTAGCCACTCCCCTCCCCATTGCCCTACAGCCCCAGTCTCTGGCAGCCACTAATAAGTCTTCATGTCTCTGTGGGTTTGTCATTCTGGACATTTCACATAAGTGGAATTATGTAATATGTAACTTTGTCACCGGCTTCTGTCACCTGGTATAATGTATTCAAGGTTCATCCCTGTTGTGTAGCACATACCTGTTCATGTACATCTGGGTTTAGACTTTTTGGCTATTCTGGGTAACGCTATTATGAACATTCAACAAGTCTTCGTATGGACGCACATTTAATTTCTCTTGGGTATATAGTAACTCTAACCTTTCTGAAGAAATGCCTGACTTCCACAGCAGCGGCCACCGTTTAGGGTCCCGCCAGCAGTGTGGGGGTGAATCCAATTTCTTCACATCCTCATCAATACTACGTATTCCACTTTCTACCACAAGGAGGCTCCAGGCTTCTGAAGTTCCCCGCAGGGCCCGGCCCTCCGGGTACGCAGGCGCGCTGGAGATCCGGCCCGGCACCGGAAGTGGGGCGTACTGCCTTCCGGAGGCGGTGTTGCTGTGTACAACTGAGTGCACGCCCCGGAAGCGGAAGCGAGCGCTCGTTAACCGGGCGGCGGATTCGAGGGGTTTGTTTTTCCACCCGCGGCATCTCGGAAGAGCGGGTGCAGCACGGGCCATGCCGTCCGAGAGTCGCTGCTGGGAGACCCTGCAGGCGCTGCGCAGCTCCGACAAAGGTCGCCTCTGCTACCACCGCGACTGGCTCCTGCGGGGCGAGGTGAGCAATGGATGCAGAGGCGGCCGTAGCCCTTCTGGCCGCTACGCCGCACCCCGTGCGTCCTTTCTAACCACCGCATTTGTTTCTCGACTCCTGTACGTGCACCACGCTGCCCTAGGGTTTCTGCTCTCCCCAGCCTATTCCAGCCGCTCGGGACCCCTTCAGAGGCGCTCTTCTTTCTGAAGGCTCCGTGCTCCCCGCAGCCAGAGTAGGCGCCTCCGTCTATGTTGTCAAAGCAACCCTGGCCTCAGGGTCAGTGAAGTTACTGCATGTGCTAGGAGGGGCAGATTTTGCAGTGAACGATTAATATGACGTATTGCTGCAAGTGAAGAATCACACACAAACTTTTTAAAAAATTTTATTTTTTAATATATTTTTATTGATTTCAGAGAGGAAGGAAGAGGGAGAGAGAGAAACATCAATGATGAAAGAGAATCATGGATGGGCTGCCTCCTGCACGCCCCCCACTGGGGATCGAGGCCGCAACCCCGGCATGTGCCCCTGATCAGAATCGAACCTGGGACCCTTAGTCCTCAAGCCGGCGCTCTATGCACCGGGCCAAAAGTTTGATCACACAGAGTTTTAGATGGCATTGGACGGACCTGTGAAGTTTAATGGGGGCGTGATCACTGTATTTGCATTGTTCTGTACTAGACCGCCAGGTGGAGGGGGCATGTAGGAACAGTTAAGGCATACCTCCTGTTCTGGAGTGTCTGGTAATCTAACTACTGCCCTGTCTCTTTAGACTTTTATGTAAAACAATTCTAAAGCGTCCCCCTGTCTTTTATATCTTTGACAATTTTAAAAAATACATACCTTACATTCTAGAGCAGGGGTGGGCAAACTTTTTGACTCGAGGGCCACAATGGGTTCTTAAACTGGACCGGAGGGCCGGAACAAAAGCATGGATGGAGTGTTTGTGTGAACTAATATAAATTCAAAGTAAACATCATTACATAAAAGGGTATGGTCTTTTTTTTTTTTAAGTTTTATTCATTTCAAACGGGCCAGATCCGGCCCGCGGGCCGTAGTTTGCCCATGGCTGTTCTAGAGGCTGAGTCCCGGGATTGGTCTGTCTGGTGTACACTCAGGTTATACATCCTTAACAGGAATACCACAGAAATGAGGCTGCGTTCTCAGGAAGTGCTTCAGTCCATCTCAGTTGACATGCAAGTTGAGCTTCACATCTTCTTCTTCTTCTCTAGGATGTTTTAGAAGAATGTGTATCCACTCCCCAGCTGTCTTCTTATGCTGGATGGGTGGTAGATCATGTCCTACCCCACACACAAGAGAACCTGTCTCCCTCTGAGACTTCAACATCCTCTAGATCCACTTCAGGCCTGGACCAACCTTCATTTGTTCCCAAGTCTCCCATCAGAAGCCTCGCCTTCTCACCAGCATCCCCAAGAACACCAGCAACACCAGGTGGGACCAAGGTAAGGTTTTCCATCAGCTGAGGACAGATGACAGGGGTGGTTGCAAAGTTGAGTTGTGTAATGTCATCATGTGACAATGCCTTTGCCCTGCATGAAGTCGTGGTTGTTTCTTGGTAGCTGTTTGTAGGGACATGTTGCCCGCATCACCCTGTGTTCGCCTTATGAAGACGTAGAGAGAGAGATTCCCCTCTGTTCTTAGTGCCGAGAGTAGTAGCTAATGTCGTGAGCAATTGGATTGTTTTCCACATGAACCTTGCATCTGTTTAACTGGTAAAGTTTCCCTTTTTGTGCTGGTTGCTGGGGGCATAGAATAAAATTTAACATGTGCTTAGGATTTACATATCTTATCATTAGTTCTGTCTGAGTTTTTACCTATTTTTCGCTCTATTTTGTCACTGCCTTTGTTTGTTTCTCTCACTTACAAAGTAAATTGTTATCCTAGCCAGTTTGCCTCAGTGGCTAGAGCGTCGTCGGCCTATGGACTGAAGGGTCCCAGGTTCCATTCCAGTCAAGGGCACATCCCCAGTAGAGGGCATGCAGAAGGCAACCCATGAGTAATTCTTGCCCATCATTGCTGTTTCTATCTCTCCCTCCCTCTCTGAAATCAATAAAAATACTTTAAGAAAACCCAGTAAATTGTTATTGGTGGTGGCCTTTTTTTGTGTTTTTGTTTTGTTTTGGTTTGGTTTTTTTAGTGGTATATTTTCAGAGTAGTTTGCCTGTATACAGTAGTTCTCCCTCATCTGAGGTTTCGCTTTCCATGGTTTCAGTTCCTGCGGTCAACTACAGTCCGAAAATATTAAATGGAAAAGTCCTGAAATAAACAATTCATATGATTTTTTTAAAATATATTTTATTGATTTTTTACAGAGAGGAAGGGAGAGAGATAGAGAGCTAGAAACATCGATGAGAGCTGCCTCCTGCATATCTCCCACTGGGGATGTGCCCGCAACCCAGGTACATGCCCTTGACTGGAATCGAACCTGGGACCTTTCAGTCCGCAGGCCGATGCTCTATCCACTGAGCCAAACCAGTTTCGGCAATTCATACGATTTTAAATTGTGCACCATTCTGAGTTACGTGGTGAATGCTGTGCCTCCCGATCTGTCCTGCCTGGGACAGGAATCGTCCCTTTGTCCAGCCTCTCCATGCTGTGTCCACTACCCGCCCATTAGTCACTTAGGAGCCGTCTTGGGTCAGATCTACTGTTGCAGTATTGTAGTGCTTATGTTCAAGTAACTCTTGTAATTGTAATGTTCAAGTAACTTAACAATGTCCCCAAAGTGC